GGAACTGTATTTAAAGGGCCAGAAGGTTGAGAACCACTGTCCTAGTCCCACCTCGTTGATGAATGGTAGATGAGAGGTACTCAGAGATTTTTAGAAAAGGCATCACATAGATGACCCAGGTCAGAGAAACACGTGGCACTGTAGTCAGGCTCAGTCCTCAGGAAGCCTTGCTGAGCATCTCGTTGTCCAACTGCTCGGTGCCAGGCGCTTGCACATGCTACTCCTAGTCATTACTCTGACCCTTTCATACAGGTATTAGCAGATCTAGCTTACAGATAAGGACACTGAGGCTCAAAGCGATTCAGCAATTGCCCAAGGACACGTCTCTAGTGATGGGTATGTCAGGAGTTACAGTCAAATCTGTCTATTTGTGAACCTGTGCTCGTTCTATTCCTACAGTGCTTCTCAAACTTTAACATGCTTGTAAGTCTTAAAATGCAGATTCCGATTTAATAGGTGTGGAGTGGGGCCCAAGAGTCTGCATTTCTAACAAGCTCCTGGGTGAGGCAGTTGCTGCTCCCCAGACCACACTTGAGTGAAAATGTGCACGTGGCCTTGGCCAGGCCCCTCCGGGTACACTGGCATCCAGGAGGCGGCCCAGAGAGAGCTGTCGGAGTTATCATTTATGCTCATTTCGTTTGCTTTCGCTGACTGGCTTTTGATCAGGGTTCCAATAGATGGCTAGCAAGAGCTAATTACAATCCCAACTAATACACTGTGTCAGTTGTTATTCATTAACAAATTATGTTCCTGACAAACTGCTCTAGTGTGGTACCCTAAGTACTGTAATTAAAATCTTAGAAAGTTGCATGTGGGCCTAATTGATTTCCTTAATGTATTACTCAGACTAAACATGCCATTATTTTGTGTCTTGATGTTTATGAAGGGGCAAACTGCTGCTGCCACCCAGGCAGCAGAGGGAGAGCCGCTGGGTGAGCGGGGGAGCTTGCCAGCTCTGGGGGGCCTGCTCACTTCCCTAGCAGTGCCACCCGAACAACGTTCAAATGACAGTGGTGGCTGCTTTCCACCAGAAATATTCACACAGAAAGGGATGGAGGATAATTGGATTTATGTTTATAATTTGTGCATCCTCCTTGGATTTCCAAACTTCGGGAATGCTACGATGACTCTAGTGTACCCACAGAGAAATGGAGAGATGCTTCCCCAGGAAGTCATGGCCCCATGACCCAGAGGCTCTCCCTTTTGGTACCAAGCACCAGAGGGCAGAAAGGGAGGGCGAACTGGGGACAATGTCTATGCTTAAAAGTCATGTATGATGCAGACAAGTCCAAGTGTACTGGTATTTGGCAAATCTGAAATAATAAGGACAGCCAATATCTATACTGAAAGCCACTGAATTAGACTGTATGTAGTCATTCCTTCATGTGTTCAATAGCCTTTTAATGAGTACCTAGGATGGGCAAGGCCTGGGTGAGGCAGTGTTTGATGTAAAAAAACAAACAAACAAAAACATGCGAAATAAGCACAATCATAACAGCAGAAAACATGTATTACATGCCAGGCACTATTCTAGAAACTGTAAACATACTAATTCCTGCTCAGTTCCTATGAAGTAGGTACTCTCATTGTCCCTGTTTTACAAATGAGAAAACTGAGGCAACAGAGAAGGTATGGGACTTGCCTAAGGTTGCACAACCAGGCTTTAGATCCAAGCAGCGTGGCTCTCCTTACTTGAACCCTTGTGCTATCCTGCCTCTCTTAAGTATAATAATGATAGCTAATGAGGACTTAGCATGTTCTTATGAGTAATTCGATCCTCACAAAACCCTAATGATGTAGGTACTGTCATTATCCCCATTTCACATTGAGGAAACTGAGGCACAGAGAGGTTGCTTAACTGCCTCAAGGTCTCATGGTTGTAAGTGGCAGGGTGAGGATTTGAGCTGAGGCCCTGAACTTATATTTTTAATCTCCATGCTTCTTAGATAGAACTAGCAGAGATCTGAGAAATCATATAGGGATTTGGGGCCTGCATAGGTCAACCAATGTAAATAATTAAACTCCAGGTGAGCTTGCTCCATATTTCGAACAGATGGAAAGGAAGGTCCAGGTAAAAAGTGCAGACCTGGGACGTGAAGGCAGACGTCTGATGCCCAAGGCTGCCCCTGACCTCTGTATCATCATGCCTCTTATACACCCACAGTTCTGAGGCCGTCTCCCTGCCCTCTGCCCCACTCACCCTCACTCAGCCTCCAACACAACAGGATGGACCGCAGTGTCTAAGGACACACTTAACAGCTTAGTAATACGTTCCATTATTCGCTATGCATTGCATGTTGAAGAAACTAAAATGTGATTAATTCTGGAACTTCCTTTCATTTTGTATGAGGGCACACATAAAAAAATGCAAATTATAGCCTAGCCAGCATGGCTCAGTGGTTGAGCATCAACCTATGAACCAGGAGGTCATGGTTCGACTCCTGGTAGGGGCACTCCAGGTGGCAGGCTCAATCCCCAGTGGGGGGCATGTAGGAGGCAGCTGATCAATGGTTCTCTCTCTCCCTCATCCTTCCTCTCTGAAATCAATAAAATAATTTTTTGAAATGCAAATGATAAAAGGCAGACATTTCTCACATTTTTCTGATTTTAAAAAAATAAAGTGTCGGTTGTGCGGTCTTTTGGAAAAATTGGGCTATTGTGTTTGCTGGAACAGGAGATGGAGCTTTTCAACAGGTTATAATCTCACGCTGTACTGCCACACTCAAAGAGAACGCCCATTACCCGCTGGCTGCCCTGTGCATGATGGGCCTCCCTGGTGTTTTCAAGTTCTCTCCTTGGTTCCCGAACCACAACTTGATATGACTCATCCCCACTAGCCTGAGTCACTTCCTATGTCGCTAGTTCACAGCTCCCTCATCACAAACTGCATTATTTCTGCTTCTCTCAGACGAGTGCCTTTGCATACACCCGATGTAGGTTTCCAGATCATTCTACCCTGAGACTTCTGCCACAGGCATCACAAATTCCCTTCCTCCATTTTCTGGGGATGAGCTACCCACCATCCTTGGTGAGCTCCCTCTTTGAGCCGTTTCCACTCATTATTAAGCACATTTTCCTCTCGGGTAAACCAACTGGCTTTTCATTGATCCCTTTTTACATATAATATTCTTTAACTGTTTTTAATGCATATATGTATATATACATATATTTATATTTTAATATTAGCAGCCAATACTGTAATTTTTTTATCACATTACTAAGCAAAAACTCAATTTAAATTCAAAGAATCATGTAGACAGACTATTCATCCCTGCAAACTCCATTGTCAATTCTTATGCAGGATCTTGGCGCACTGATGACTTGGCTAATAAAAATGCCTTCTGAAGTTAAAAATCGCTCCCGGGCAGTGCTACCTTTCAATAAGAGAGTTCTCAAAAACACCTGACAGAACTCGGTTGCCTATGACAGATTTTCCCCTCTCCACAAGTCACCGTCTGTAAGCAGAGATGGAGGCAATGCAATCATCAGAAAAGCTTCAGCCACTCTTTTCAATGTATTTGATATATAAGAAAACATCTGGTTTATGGGCGAGTGTTCAGAATACAGAATACTTGTGAGACAGACAGGATGCCATTACCTAATAAAGACAGAATTTCTTTTTTCTTTTCTTTCTTTTTTCTGGAACTGCCATTGGGAGGTTTCTGGCAGTTTTTAGTTTTGGGAGGTTGAGAGAGCTCTCAGAATCTTTGGAACAGATAGATTCCTTTGGTTTGTGCAAAATTATTAGGATTGGTCCTGTAGTTATTCAAATACAGGGTGGGGCAAAAGTAGGTTTACAGTTATTCGTATGGAAAATAATACATTAATAAATAATCATGCAAGAATAAATTCTTTCATGTACTCACAACTGTAAACATACTTTTGCCCCACCCTGTGTAAAGCAAGTGCCTATCCATTGTCCTTGGTGACTGCAGTGAAGTCACCATCAACCTGAATGATATTGCAGATTAAGATGCCAAGTGTCCTGCCCACTGATGTAAGTGGGACCTGTTCAGCCAGAACCATGCCCCAGAAGCACATGCCTACATGGGAATCTAGAGTAGGACCACTGGTATCTAAGTGGTATTTAAAGAGTAAATAACACTAACGTTTTGAAATGTATTTTCAACTACTTGAGTTAGTTCACAACTTTCTTGGTACACATTTTAAAAAAAAGACATTTTAGAGAATATTTCATGTTTTACATAATATTCTAGTAAACACATGCCAGAAATATCTAACACAAACAAAAGTTTCATGAAACAATACTTATCCGTATCTACACTAATAAAAGAGAAACATGCAAATTGGTGTCACTCCGCTACACCCACCAGCCAATCAGAGCGATTATGCAAATTAACCCAACAAAGATGGCGGTTAATTTGCATATGCAGGCACAGAGCGAAGACTGAAGGCTCTGGCCGGAGTGAAGACTGAAGACTGAAGACTGAAGAGGCTTGGCTTCAGGTAGCAGAGAAGCCAAGCCGCACTGCAGCCGGAGGGGAGAAGTCAAGCCTCGCTGCGGCCGCAGCGGAGAAGCCTAGCCTCACTGTGGTCGCAGTGGAGAAGCCTAGCCTTGAGGCTTGGCTTCTCCTCTGTGGCCGGACCAAAGGCCTCTGTCCCAGGTGCCGGAGGAAAACCAGTGCCAGCAGCCAGGGGAAGGAAGGCCTATTGCGCAAATCTTCGTGCAACGGGCTTCTAGTTACATATAATGCTGATATTTCTATATATCCTATATCATTGTTTTAATGTTGGTCATGTCCCACTGAATTCATATTATGACCTGTTAATGGGTCATTTGCAGTCCAAAAAACATCCAACTATTGTAATTGCTTTGTCTGAGTCCAGGAGTCAATCTGTGGCATCCAAGAGATTGGTGGCCTTTGGCTTTGAAGTTCAGGGACCTATAATAATGTCAGCAGTTGACTTTAAAACTTTCCAAATAGACTGTGAGATACTATAGACGAGCCAGTTAGTTTCAGCTTTAACTCTGGGGGTACCTGGGGTGGTCAGGGGGCACTCTCATCTGCAGTTCATCCTCTGCTGCTTCTGCTGTCTGTATCTCAGCCAATTGTCCCAGCTTTGCCAATCTGCACTCAGAATGTCAAAAATGAGTTTTTATGGTGGAAAGTGATGTCCTGTTGATCAGCAAAAAATGTCAGAAATGGGCTCCTATTAGTGAAATTAAAAGTATTCGTTGTCAAATATAAAAAGAACACTCATAATGAAGATGTTTCTAAGACTACTTAAAAAAGTATTTTTAATATGTGAACTGGCTAAGATATCTTTACTCTTGTACAATTAGGGTGGCAGAATCCAGGGAACTGGGCAGCCAACAGCCCCAGGGAGACTCGATTGTTGCTAAAAGGCTCTACGTGCACCCCCAGCGTATGACAACTGATGTGAACTATCCTTGTCTGATAGCGACAGAAAGGTGACAGGATCCTGCCTCTGTAGTCTTGGCTTTTGTCTCCAGTGAACCATCCAAAAGGCCAGAGGCTGTGACTTCATCAAGCTTCCAGAATAGATAGCGTGAGCCGTTTTGTGCCTGCTTGCTAGTGAATGTGTGTTCAGCACATGTTTGCTGCGTGGCAGAATCTGGTCTGAGACTGGCTTTCATTATAACATGGTAGGGAGGTTATGTGGGAGTGTCCAACTATCACCCACCTCAAACATCCTTGGGGTGACTAGTGTTATCTTTTTTAAAAACCTCTAATGGCTGTGATTACCAAATGGATTAAATCCAGTTCATAGGCCCCTTCTACACTTGTAAATCTATGTGGAGATCAAGGGATGCAGAGAAGCAGGTCACTTTGTGGGAATGGCTGACAAATGCGGCCAGCAGAACAGATATGTAGAGCAAGTGAGTGTCCTCTCGACTCTCAGAATTCACTGGTGAGGAAAGCCCAGCAGATGACGGGTCTTCAAAGGACGGGGACTTTGGGCCATTTTACTGTAGATCATAAAAGGAAATATGACCTTACTTGGTAAGCAGAGGCTGCTGAGTTCTGAAAACCATAAGTCACATTGGAATCACAGTATATAACAAGAAGGATTTTGTTGACGTTCCATTCTATTTAAAGGTTGGTGTTTTAGTTACGAAGTTCACTGTCTCAGGATAATAATGTGGCAGGGAAAATGGTAGGACTCCATTTAAGTCTAAGATACATCCACTGCTGAATTTCAGACCTTTCTGATGAGTCAGACAAAGGGACAGGCCGTAACTGAATAACCACAAGGAAGGGGCTTTGTGAATTATGGGGCTATTTGGAAGGAAGCTGGTGGAGAAGGTTTGACAAGTGTCTGAGAGATGGAGATGAAATGATGGGTTTGGGATCTGCCTTGTATATCTCCCTGGCCATGAACTAGACCTGCTCTCTCTGGGCTGCAGGCAGAATCAAAAGGAAACCTGAGGCCCTGGCTGGTTTGGCTCAGTGGATAGAATGTCGGCCTGTGGACTGAAGGGTCTTGGGTTTGATTCTAGTCAAGGGCATATGCCCAGGTTGCGGG